TTTTTTTGCCTTTTTTTTTTTGTCCAAAATCAGTTTTTATTACCAGAAAATAACCCCTGGTTCGAGCGGCGGGGGTCCTACGAATCGCTGTTAATAAAATAGAGATTTCTTGTTCTGGTTCTGCCTGGTTTTCAGCCCAGGAAAAGAAAAAAAAAAAAAAAAAACAAACCCAGCCCGTTTTGTTCAACAAAAAAAGCCCCTTATTCCCAGATTAAATTCCCAACATAGGCTGGGAAAAAAACCCACAGGGAAAACCTGCAGGTTGACGGTGCCTTCGTGGTTCTTCCTGGTGGGAAAATCCATGTGCAAAAGAGATGGAACTTCATCTCCTGAGGCAGGTTTATGCCAGGTAATTCCCAACACCGGTGCAGCCTGTACTGGGCTGGAATGGGAAACATCCCATAGCAAAAACTGGGAAGGGGAGGGGATGGAGGGACCTCTCTGCTGCTGAGCTGGTGTTTCTTTACCAAACCAGGGTGAGGGAGGAAGGAAGAAACACTGATTTAATGCCGAGTTCACCTCTAAATCCAGGGTTAGGCCGGTCCAGAGGGTGGGAGAGCTGTTGGCATCCCAGAACTCTTTGCTTTTCCCACACCTGCCTGATGTTTTCCCGGTGTTCCAAAGGGTTTAACTGCCCGAGTGCAGCCCTGAGTTCAAAGTGTTGGCTCTGAGAGGTAAAGCCAAGGTTTTTTCCTGCCCCCCAAAGCCTGACTGGGAAGCAGAGGGCGAGAACTGGAGCGGCAGCAGCTCAGAAGGAGTTGATGAAGTTGAGGTACGAGTTCAGGAATCCCGTGGGATCCTCCAGCTGGGGATAGTGGCTGATGTGGTCATCCAGCACGGACACTGTGGACATGGGAAGCAGCTTCCTGTGGGAAGAGTGGAGCAAGGTTAGTTAAGCTTAAGCTTAAGCGCAGGACCAGCAGCAGGCTCAGCCCGGTGCCACCAGTGAGGAGGGCAGGGCTGGGATTCCACCCAGAACGTGGATTTGGGATCAAAAAAAGCCCCAGTTGGCCAGTCTTCCGAGTGCTGGATTTCCTCCAGGTTAGTTTGGAGGAGAAAATTCCCTCAGGGATTAAATCTTCCCTCTGTGGTTTTAAAATTTGGCACTGGTTTGACTGAAAATGGTGATTTTGGGGTTTTTTTTGCTGCCTAAAATAGGGAAACAGTTCCCAAACTGCACAAGGCTCCGACTTGGAGTCGCTTGGTTCCAGGTGGGAATTAAGAACAGCCTCTGTGAGAACGGGATTGGAGGGAAAGGCAGCCAAAATATCCCTTGGAATGAGGCCCCAGGGGGGCACATTCCCACTCAGTGGTGGGTGGGATCTTACCTGTAAAGCTGGAGAAACTCCGGGTGTGGATTCACGGGGTCCAGGGGGCCGTAGATGAGATGCACTGGGAGAGAGAAGAACGAGGAATTTACGCCCAAGGACATCCCTAAATTTAGCCAAGGGCCAAATTCCCCCCTCACGTGGAGCTTGGGAAGCTTCCAGTGGAGCCCTGAGCAATCCAGGGGCTCCAACAGCCTCCGGTGTCCTGGTTGGAACTTCCCTGGAGCAGCACCTGGAATGAGCCTCTCAGGGAATGTCGCTCCGCTCAGCGGGACGAACTTCCCTTGCCAAGGTGTGGCTGAGCCTTGAGCTGGAAGTTTGGGATGTTCCCCCTGGATTGGAGCTCCATCATCATCACCGGGATGACGGGAAGCTCCGGCGAGGAGCGGGAGGGGACAGTTCCCACCGATCCCAAGCAGGAAAGGAAGAGATTCCAGGGATTCCTACTCACGTGGGACAGAGGTGGACACCAGAGCCCCGACCCAGCGGCCACTGTGCTGCTTCCTCTCGTTGATGTACTGCAAAACACTGAGGAGAAATCCCTGGTTACAGACATTCCAGGGGTGGCACAGCCTGGGATTTGCTCCCGGGGCCACGGATGGTGAGGGGGGATCTGCATCTCCCATGGATCTCCCTGGGACAGCAGCACCACAACAGCATCCCGGAGTTCAGTGACTCGGTTCTTCCAGGGGGAGGAAAGGAGAGAAGGACACACTGAACAGGGATGCTGGACCCACAGCCAAGAGATCCTCCTGAAAGCCCAAACTGGAGCAAACAGGACCTTCCAAAACTGGAGTTAACAGTGCTTCCCAAACTGGAACAAACAGGACCTTCCCAAAATCCCAAACAAACAGGTCCTTCCCAAACTCCCAAACTGGAGCAAACAGTGCTTCCAAAACTCCCAAACTGGAGAAAAGAGGACCTTCCAAAACTGGAACAAACAGGTCCCTCCCAAACTGGTGCTTCCCAAACTCCCAAACTGGAGCAAACAGGACCTTCCCAAACTCCCCAAACTGGAGCAAACAGGATCTTCCCAAGTTCCCCAAACTGGAGGAAACAGGTCCTTCCAAAACTCCCAAACTGGAGCAAACAGGACCTTCCCAAGCTCCCCAGACTGGAGCAAACTGGAGCAAACAGGACCTTCCCAAACTCCCCAAACTGGAGCAAACAGGACCTTCCCAAACTCCCCAAACTGGAGCAAACAGGACCTTCCCAAACTCCCCAAACTGGAGCAAACGGGTCCTTCCCAAACTCCCAAACTGGAGATTTGGCACTGGGACTTCTGGGAATGGCCCAGAAGATCAAGGTCATTCAAATCCAGAGGCAAAGCTCTCCTGGGACAATTCCAAGGGATCCATTCACCTGCCACAGATTTATCTCCAGTCCTTGAACACCCCCCCCCAAATCCAAGCCCTTGACTTCCAAAGATGAAAAAATTCCCACATTGGATCATTTCAAACTCAGATCCAATTCCAAACTTTATTTCCCTGCCCTGCATAATCCCAGTGGGAAATCTTGGTCCCACATCACCTTCCAGCTCTTTTTTTTTGGGATGAAGATGATCCCAGGCTCCAACAGAAGCAGCTGGAGGCTCTGGAGAGCCTCTGGATGAGCTCTGGGAATCTCGGAGCAGGTGTCCCAACTAATCCCCTGCAGGAATTCACGGTGACCTACCTGTCCATGACAAGATTCCCGTCGTTATTCCGCACCGCCGTCCACATATCCCAGAATTCCGCCTGGGAGGGTTGTGTGTGGGGCCCAAAAACTGCTCCAAGCCTGGGAAAAAAAGGGAGTTTGGAGAGGGCTTTTTTGGGGAAAAATCCCTAAAGGCAGGGCTTGGGTGGGGTTTCATTGCCTCTGGAATGTGGAATTCCAGTTCTTGTGGGAGAGAAGGAAAGCAGGGAAAAAGCCATGGGGTGGTTTATTATTAGCCCAGCCTGGAGAGGGAATGGCCTGGAAGGTCAAGGTTGAAATCCAGAGGAAAATCTCTCCTGGGATGGTGCCAGGGAATGCCCTCACCTGCCCCAACACCTGCTAATTCATGGAATCGTGGAATGGTTTGGCTTGGAAAAGACCTTAAGGATCATCCAGTTCCACGGGCAGGGACACCTCCCACTATCCCAGGTTGCTCCAACCCGGCCTTGGACACTTCCAGGGATCCAGGGGCAGCCACAGCTTCTCTGGGAAATCCACCACGCCCCTCCCACCCTCCCAGCCAGGAATCCCTTAGAATTCCCGCTTCCCTGCTCGGCTCCCATCCCTGTGGACTGTTCCCAGCTCACCCTCTGGAGAAGAAGAAGAAGTTCATCAGGCGCAGGAGGAGAGGGGACAGCAACCCCCCGTCCTGGAGGAGCTGGGGAGCAAGGAGAACAGGAGATGGGACACACGGATCAATCCTGTCTCCATGGAGAGCTTTTCCCACAATCCCTGACCCCGGAGACACCCACAAGGTCTCCTGGTGGGACACTGGTGTTTATTTGGGATACTGGGAGTCAGGCTGGACAGAGAGGGGAGCAGCTCACCTTCTGGATGAACCTGGGGTGGTATGTTTCCTGAAAAATCCCTGGAAGGAGGCAGGAAAACAGAGCTGTAAATCCACAGGTGCTTTGCTTCCCATTTCCCGGTCCCTCCCCGTCCTCGTGGGGCCATGGAATGTGGGACAGGGAGCCAGGATTGGCCTCCTAATCACGGCACCTTAATTGTGCTTCCCTTGGGATTCAGGCGAGGGAGATGGGAAGGCCACCCTATCCCATGGATCCCAATCCCATGGATCCCCATCCCGCCTCTCCAGGCGACCCTCACCTCCGTTGGATAAGCAGAGGCTGTTGATCAGGATGCTCCCGGTTTTATTGTGCTCGTACCTGGGGACACCAGAGGAGAAGGTGGAACACGTCCAAGACCTCTCCAGGATCCAAGGAATGACCGCCCAGGAGGTCACAAGGACACTGCCAGGTCATCCCTGGATCCCTGCTGGGATTTGGATGGGTGGGACCCTCGGGAATGACACGCCCTGAGAGCTCTCGGCCTTGGGAGGGATGAGGAAAAGGGAGATCCCACTGATTGCTGGGAATCATCTCCATGGGGACAACAAGGGGTGACAGGGGTTGGAAGGGTTGGAATGGTGTCCATGGGGACAACAAGGAGTGCCAGGGGTTGGAATTGTCTCCATGGGGACAAAAAGGAGTGTCAGGGGTTGGAATTGTCTCCATGGGGACAACAAGGGGTGCCAGGGGTTGGAATGATCTCCTTGAGGATAACAAGGGGTGCCAGGGGTTGGAATTGTCTCCAAGGGGACAACAAGGGGTGCCAGGGGTTGGAATGGTGTCCATGGGGACAACAAGGGGTGCCAGGGGTTGGAATTGTCTCCATGGGGACAACAAGGAGTGCCAGGGATTGGAATCACCTACATGGGGACAACAAGGAGTGCCAGGGGTTGGAATTGTCTCTGTGGGGACAACAAGGAGTGTCAGGGGTTGGAATGGTGTCCGTGGGGACAAGAAGGAGTGCCAGGGGTTGGAATGATCTCCATGAGGATAACAAGGGGTGCCAGGGGTTGGAATTGTCTCCAAGGGGACAACAAGGGGTGCCAGGGGTTGGAAGGGTGTCCATAGGGACAACGAGGAGTGCCAGGGGTTGGAATTGTCTCTGTGGGGACAACAAGGAGTGTCAGGGGTTGGAATTGTGTCCATGAGGATAACAAGGAGAGCCAGGGGTTGGAATTGTCTCCATGGGGACAACAAGGAGTGCCAGGGATTGGAATCACCTACATGGGGACAACAAGGAGTGCCAGGGGTTGGAATTGTCTCTGTGGGGACAACAAGGAGTGCCAGGGGTTGGAATGGTGTCCGTGGGGACAACAAGGAGTGCCAGGGGTTGGAATGATCTCCATGAGGATAACAAGGGGTGCCAGGGGTTGGAATTGTCTCCAAGGGGACAACAAGGGGTGCCAGGGGTTGGAAGGGTGTCCATAGGGACAACGAGGAGTGCCAGGGGTTGGAATTGTCTCTGTGGGGACAACAAGGAGTGTCAGGGGTTGGAATTGTGTCCATGAGGATAACAAGGAGAGCCAGGGGTTGGAATTGTCTCCATGGGGACAACAAGGGGTGCCAGGGGTTGGAATGGTGTCCATGGGGACAACAAGGAGTGTCAGGGGTTGGAATTGTCTCCATGGGGGTACCAGGGGTTGGAATGGTGTCCGTGGGGACAACAAGGGGTGCCAGGGGTTGGAAGGGTTGGAATTGTGTCCGTGGGGACAACAAGGAGTGCCAGGGCTTGGAATCCCCTCCATGGGGACAACAAGGAGTGCCAGGGGTTGGAATGGTGTCCATGGGGACAACAGGGGGTGCCAGGGGTTGGAATGGTGTCCATGGGGACAACAAGGGGTGCCAGGGGTTGGAATTGTCTCCATGGGGACAACAAGGAGTGCCAGGGATTGGAAT